CGTTAGAGAAATTTAATATCTCGAGTAAATCTTGAGCATGATGATGATGAAAAACTAAAATGACGAATAAATGATATGAGATGCCGAGAAAGAAAGGCATCACCCTTCCCCATATTGGCATGTTGGTTGATTCAAGAATATGGTTCTCTTTTATGGTTTTTAAATTCATTTTTAAAGATCTTATAAAACGAACATACTTCGGGACAATTGCACGAAAAAAAATGCTTTCATCACCCGAGCAGAATTATATTGCTTTAATATTTTTTCGCATGAAAAATGCTGGAGCGACGTATCAAAGAATAATGAATCATGTGTTTAGGCGTGGAATGAGAGCTACATCAACTTTTGGAGCAAGTTGTTAAGCTGAGTGTCTTCATGTTGTAGGTAAGAGAAAAGTGCTTGTTGTTAACTATACTATACCTTTACTTGTAAAAAGGAGTTTAGTTTCACTTGTCTACCCTTGCTTTCTCAGCTTTATTTTGTCTGTATTCCTTACATGGGCATTAATGTAATGGTTAATGAAGAGATAAAGGCTACTACTGTTTTCTCTTTTCTCCCTCTCGCTATTTTCAACATAGTATCAGAGACTCATCCTCTACAAAATCATCATTTTTGATTCTCTTGGTGATCGCATTCTCCCAGGTTAAGTCCCTCTTGATCCTTGGTCAAATCTCTTCTTCTCCTCCTTTTATCACCTATGGATTCCATTAATTCCTCAAACACTACAGGAGAGCTTTGAATTATCATCGAAAATTTGCATCGGAAATTTTCGACGCATATATTTGCATCCGATTTTACTACTGATTTTCGGTGAACATAAGTTCATTCTATTTGCATCAGGTTTACATCTGAATATTCGACACAAACAACGACGAAATTAACAATGTTGTTGCGGTCCTTTTTGTATTGGATTTGTGTCAAATAAATCAACCCAAAAGCTTTACTAAAAGGTCCAAAAACCATAAATGTGAAACAATAGACCAAAAAAAAACTCATCACACGTCTTCCAATTCATTTTTTCTTCACGCGCCACAACCCCATCTTCCCTCTTCCCTCCTGGGACATTGAAACCCCTGACATTTCCTCTCCTCCCTCTCGCCATCGCCGGTCGCCGCACCTTCTCATTGCCAGTCGTCGTACCTCCCTCCTGCCATAGAAACCCCATTACGACCCTAGCTCTTCGCCGCTTGTGACAGAAACGAAAAATGTGTCTTTGCTCTATTTTTTGCTTTTTTTTAATTTTGGTATGTATGTAATATTTGAAGTTTGTGTGTTAGTAATATATGCATAAGATTTCGGTAGTATGTATGTAACATTTAAAGTTTAGGTGTTAGAAATGTATATGCATAAGACTAAGGCATGCTTGATTTTTATGCTTTGCACATGGACATCAAGACAACCCTTCTAAAAGGTAAATGAAAACCGTGATGCCACTTGCACAACTTCCTATGCACCATTCAAGAACTCTTCACTGAGCCTTTTTCTTCATGGATACAATCTATCATACATCAATGGATTTAAATCTCAAATATCCACCAATGTCCCGAGTATAGATTTAAAGATTAAAACTTTTAAATCATCAAATTATACATAGAAATTTTCATACAAAATTATGTATATAAATGATTCAAATTGATATCTGTATAGATACACACAAAGATATAAAACACACACACACACACACAAATATAGATACACAAAAATATACATATATATATAGATACACAAATACGTGCATAAATATAAATATATATACATACACACGCATATATATAGACACACAACACACACACACACATAAATATAGACACACACAAATACATATAAATGCAAACACACATAAATATTGATATCGACATAAAATAAGTATATAACAACACAAATGCACACGCACGCGCGCGCACACACACACACGAACACGTTTGGGCACATAGATTACATACATACATAAACATACAAGTAAACCTATTTTTTAAATTGAATCAAAAGATGGATTAATGGATTTGTTAATTTTTGGATTTACAAATTCCTACTAAAGCTAAAACCTACCTACAAGCAAACACTCCATAAACTCGTTTCAATTTAATTATGAATTTACTAAATCAAACGGGAATGCAGATTAAATTGATTTATGCTTTTCCGGTTTACTAAATCCTACTAAACCTAAATCCTACTTGTAGCCAATCACCACCTAAACTTAAACCTTAATTCCTTCTTAATTCATTCCTAAACCCTAATACATAAATCTAAACCAAAATGACATAAATCAACAAAAAATAAAAAGAAACTATTCAAGAAAATGTGGTAGGGGAAGGGAGAAAACATCGTTATCTTGGAGATGCGGTTGGAGATGAAGAGTCACTAATGTCTTTGGTGCTAAACAAACTCTATGGGGTTGCTAGACGATCTCGAGAGAAAGGGTCACAGGAGAAGCTTGAGTTTCGTTCAAGCAACTCAGAGGTAAGATGATGGTACACATGTTTAGATTTTAAGTTTCGTGTCGGCTTAGCGTTGGAAATATTCCATGCCAAGAAGCCTGCATTGTATTTAAGGAATGAAACAACAACACTATTAAGTGAGAAATGAAATGTTGAAAGTTTTAGTGCTATGTCCGACACAAAATCCGACAATAACAATGTTTGCTGAAATTAAATGCAAATCCAATATGAATATTTATGTCAGAAGAATTATGAAGCCAGAAGAGATGCTATTAACCTGTGATAGTACATGGAGAATTTGATATTCAACATATTAACTGTTTGATACCAATCAATCAATGAACATGCATAAAGTATTCGTTTTATTTTATATCTTTTAAATACAAAATTTATTTTTAATATTTGGACCTTCCCTCTTGCAACAAGAGTATAGAGAGCCATATAAAAAATCTTTTGTTATTTTCACGTGCTTTAAAATTGGTTAAACCACACAAATAATTGACAACTTTTTTTTTCCATTAACGAGAGCTTTGACCAGTTTCAGTAAATCAAATGACAATTACAAAACTTCTCAAGTGACAATAAAAAAGGTATAATAATGAAGTGTAAAATTTAAACTTATGAGTATGAAATGAATAAAAGTAAACCAGAGAAACAAAAAACAATGAGCTTGGTAAAACCACCAATGTCAAAAAAAGAAAAGCCCTATCTAGAGTTATCCAACACCATGAGTCCCATAATAGAACAACAACTGATTGAAGAACTCATAAGTATCCCAATATAAATTGGTATAGAGAAGGAGCAAAAATTTGTTAGCATAAACGAGAATATATAGAACAGTGATTCACAAAAGTATAGTTATAATGCGGAGAAGGAATCCACCAAATAAGAATAATGCTCAACATGCAACGCAGTAATTATTTATAATAAGTATGAGGAACCATTTTTGCATACAGAGCTATAAATAAATTCTACGACATCTTGAAAAATTCAACAATGAATAATTGTTTGAGTCTCTTGTGTTTATTGGTTGACATTACTTCAAAAGGCAAAAGGGGTTGTGACTAATAAAAAAATCAAGGAACTAGAGGGCTTGCAAGAGTCTAGGCTAGAGAGGAGCAATCAAGGACCCAAACCTCAAACAAAAGTAACAATGAAAAGTAATCCAACAACCAACCGACAATCAACTTGAGATAAAAGGTGAAAACCAACCATATGAAAGAAAACCAAAGTGTAATATCTATATTGCATGCAATAAGTACAAGTGTAGTATCTGTATAAGTGTAAATTGTATGCAAAACACAAAACAAAATTTCACCGAAAGAAAGCTACCTGTATGTAGCATATACTATTACGAAAATACAATCACTTAAAAGAACTAAAACCAAAGGGAACTGCCACTAGATATGACAGAGATCAAAAGACTAGCAAACCAAAATTAAAAGATATTCAAAATGGTATTCACTAGAAAAATAAAGGGACATGAAATATAGCCATAGGCAATGCAATGTGACGTAAACATAAAGAAAAAATAATTTTTTTGATAATTTTACGACCAATTCTATCATAATAATTAATAACTTTCAGTTAACTTGCATATCATATGAAAGAAATGCTTATAAGGAATTCAACTTTTAGGGACAATAACAGAATACGTGCATTAAAAAAGACGAGAATGTGACTCATTGTGGTGTCACAAAGCATGCATAGAAAATCAACCAAAAGGCCTCTAAGAAGTAAAACACCCTTAGTTTTAAGGCCTTCATCCATAATTTATCCAAAAAGTACCAAATATTTAAAGGAGCAACCTTTAAACCTAACAAGTTTGTGCAGCTCACTTTGGGTTGATCATCATATAGATAAGTGCAAATGCAATAAATGAGATATTTAAAACTAAGTTGTAAATATTTTCTCCAATTTTTTTTTTTTTTCCTTATTATTTTTAAAATATATAAATTTATATTTTTATTTCGAAAGACTTACATATATAACTCTGAATTCCTACATATTTACATATATATTTATATAACATCTAATATTCAATTTTTACATACAAATCATCTAACGTTCGAATGAAAATATTAAAATAGTGATATTTTTATAAATATGAATAATTTAGGTGGTATAAATATAAAAAATAAAATTTATGTGTTATATTTATAAATAAATAATTACATAAAAATTGGCGGTATGAATGTAAATACCCACTATCTAAACATCTAATTATGAACTAAAATTTCTAATATATTGAATGTACCACACCTTCTCTCGTTTCTCACGCGCATGAGGAATTTGAGGCAGTGGGTCAAACAGTCAAACACCGAATCATTAGCTGACACGTTTAAAACGCTTGATGCCACCGACAGCTGGCTAATTTTATGGACACCTGTCGATAACCATGGGCCCTACCAAATGACGTCATTCTGAACGCTAAATTGATTTTTCACAAATAAAACTTTTTTATAATTAATCAAAAACACGTTTGATGAGCAGGCCAAATTGCATCAAGCCGTCGCTATATAAACCCTATCAAAGCTCTGTTCTTCTTCCCCAACAGAGAGCTCCACCCAAAGCTTCCACTATTCGGTGAGGACGGCGAGGCAGAGAGAGAGTTCTTACAGAGAGTTTTCTTAAGATTAGTTCTAGAAAGTCTTAATAGTTTCATCTTCTTCCTCCTCTGTTTTTTTTCTTAGCAGCTCTCTGAAACTTTCTGTCTTCTCCGAGAAAAATCTGATCTTTGACCAGTTTTCTTTTGATCTTTTTTTTGTTTTCTCTGCTCAGCCTGGTGAGGTTTTGTTTTTCTGAATCAATCAGGTTGTTTTCTTCTTTCTAGATCTAAAAGAGGATACCTTTTTAATACCTCTTTCTCTCTCTGGTTCTTTCGTTTTGTTTAAGAACCAGCTGGGTTTTGCTTCCCTTTCTTCTAGCTTTTTCTGATTCATAAGTTTTTAAGAAGGAATTCTTCCATGGCCACGGCTATAGATATGTATAATAATATGTCAGATGTCTGCTACGATAATCTTTTTACGAAGGAGCTTACGGAAGCACTTGAGCCTTTTATCAATAGTGTTTCCTCTTCTCCTTCTTCCTTCTCCTTCTTTCCCCCTTCTTCGTCTTCTTCTTCTTCTTCTTCCAAAGTCATCTCCTTTGATTCCTCCCCTGCTCCTCTTCCTCTTTTCCCCTCCTCTCTTTCTTCCTACCAGCTCTCTTATCCTTCGCAAAATCCCACCTTTGATTACTCTGTACCATCAATTTGGAATCACCAAGATTCCTTGAGCTCAGATCGTCCGATCGGGCTTACTCACCTCACTCCCAACCAGATCCAACAAATCCAAGCTCAACTCCACCACCACCGCCACCACAACCGCAACCCCCTCGCCCCGCGAACACAGCCCATGAAACTCTTCAGTGAGGCGGCTGCAAAGCCGGCGAAGCTCTACCGCGGCGTGCGGCAGCGCCACTGGGGCAAGTGGGTTGCCGAGATCCGCCTCCCTAAGAACCGCACCAGGCTTTGGCTTGGCACCTTTGACACCGCCGAGGAAGCCGCCATGGCTTACGACAAAGCCGCCTTCCGCCTCCGCGGGGAATTCGCTCGCCTAAACTTCCCCCATCTTCGTCACGTCGGAGCCGGCGTGGGGCTTCACTCCTCCGTCGACGCTAAGCTGGAGGCCATTTGCGAGAGCCTGGCGAGCACGCAGAACCAACAGAGTGCATCATCGTTAGCCGCCGTTGAAGTGAAGAGTGAGCCGGAGGCATCATCGGAGGGGGAGATATCGTCGGAGGGATCATCCCCTATTTCGGAAATAGAGAATTTGGACTTTACAGAAGTACCTTGGGATGAATCTGAGAAGTTTGTGCTGAGGAAATATCCCTCTTGGGAGATTGATTGGGATTCTATACTGTCTTAATGGTTATTTTTAGTATTAATATTATTTATTTTTGTGGGGAATTATGAATTTGGACCTTTGCAAAATGGAATTTTTGACATTTGCAGGGTAGTTAAAGGTAGGATGGTGGTGTTTTAATAGGTAGATCTCTCTCTGGTTTACCATTTATTTTTCTTGGTATTATCAGAGATGGAGGGTGTTGTTAGTAATATGTATTTTTAGAGTTGTAATTGTTGATGTAGTTATGATGTGTATTTGCTTAATTATTGTTGGGCTTGCTTTTTAATTTTGAAAAATGTATTGGTTTACTTGAATTAGTTTTTCAGTGATATCTATCTCAATAGTAATAAAGATTAGGTGTGGATAGGATGTTGAGTTTGGCAATTTTTAAGAGAATGAAAATCAAATTTTATTAAAAAAATATGATCAAAGTGGTTGAGAAATATTATAACCCACACAAAGTAACCCCTAATTGGATATTGAATTTTTGATGAACAATCAATACCATTTTTCAACATACTCATGAGGGTTGATTTAGGATTTATAATATCTTAATCCATTGCCAGTGAATTTGCTATCCTTTTATCACCATCCTTATCTTGTTGCTTTATTATTATTTTTTTAATTTAAAATATTAAATGACTAGCAATGTTTTGTTGCCTTTTGAAAGCTCCTATTTAATAGAAATTTTAGATACCCCAATAATACATCCAATAATTGTTCATATCATTTCACTTTTAGATATCAAGTACATGAGACCATCTTTATGTTCATGTGTTATTACTATAGCTCCCTTGATTGCATTCTAAATGTTAATATAAAATATTGTAATGTAACTTTCTTCAATAATATCTAATTGAAATTAAGTTTCTATTTAAATAAATAATTGTTGACCTCATTTTCGGTTGAGGTTTAGTTTTTCCTCTTTAGTAGCCCAGGGTTAGCCAAAGGACTTTTCTATTAAATATTCTTAAAAAACTAGAAAAGGAACCCTCATCATTAGAAATCCGAAACTCCTTTTTGCTCAACTTGAAGCTCCACATACTGGTCATAACCTCTAACATTTAATAGGTGGGGTCACTACAGAAGAGCTCAAGGAGAGTTCCCATAGGGCTATCTGACCTTAGGGTTGACTCTGGGTGTTGATCTCAAGCTAGTTCACTCACTTACACTCACTATCACTTATATCCACTCACAATCCTAAAACTCAAATTGTTGAATTTGACCCCTTGATCTTTTGGGAGACTCATGTAGACGGTCCCCTGAACCATCATCCCTAGGCTAGGGTTTGGCTAAAATTAGTACATAGAGGACCCAAATAGAGATTTCATTGGTCCATAACTCATATATGGTGGTTGGTACCTCAATTCTACCAAAATATCCAACTTGGCCTATTACCTCTAAATCCATCCAAATTACCTAAATACCATTGAGACCCTAAATTTGGCCAAAATCCTCAAATTCACCCAAAATACCCAGATTTGTTCAAAAATAATTTCAAATCATTTTAAAATACCCAAATCACCCAAATTCACTAAAAAATTCCAAGTTTACCAAAATATCCCCAAAAATTACCAAAATTACAAAAATACCCTTGACACCACAAAATTTCCCAAAACATAAAAAATCACTCCAAATGTTTTCAAAACCAATTTTAAACCTTCATAAAATCAATTTGAAACCTTAAATTAAACTTAATTTGGTCAATTTGACAATTTTGACTCAAATCCAAGCCTAATTGGCCCATGTTTTAAGCTCAATTTTGATCTAAGTCAAATCCCAATTTTGGTCCTATGACCTAATCTCACCTAATTGAACCCCATAGCCTACTTAATTTGCCCTAATTTGAATCTTAAACTCTTCATAAAAATTCTACACATCAAATTTGACCTTCAATTGGCCTTGGTAAAACCTCAATTACACTCAATTTTGACCAAAATCCAAAAATCTCCAAATTTGCCCCAAATTGGCTATGTTTCCAAATTCCACCAAATTGAATGCCTTAACCCAAAAATTGACACCCAATTTATGTTGAAATTCTTCATGATATTCCTATAAACTATTCTCAACCATCAATTTAGACTTAGCCTAACCTTAGCCCAACCTAGACCCAAGTCTAGCCCAACATGCCCAAATTGACCAAATCCCTAAATCCTTCAAATTGAGCTTCCAATTGAACTCAAAATCATTTCAATAATTCACTAAAAATCTTCATAATAATCATCTACACAATTTTGATCAATCAATTGGGCAAAAAGTCATGGCTAGCCTAACCCAAACCCAACTTTTAGCCATTTGGACTCAAATTGGACCCATGCATCAAAATTGACTTAGCCATGCCTAAGCCACCAAATTGATGACACAACAGCCACCAAGTGCACCATATGGACCAAACTAGACCCACCTAAACCAGCAAAAATAAGCTATGGATTAATGGTCCCTTGATTTAAAGGATTTCACCCCATATTTGGCCTAAACTTGAAATATCTCCATCATCATTGCTTACCCTTGGGGTTTAACCATCATTAAGAAGTTAACCATCATTAAGCACCCCCTGACCTCCCTGAGCGAAGAAGTGACTGGACCCTTGCCAGCCACCTCCTCAACCGCCGAAAACAGCCAGCCTAAGGGAGCCCAAAATGGCCAAAACCTGAAATTGAACCAACCTGACTTGGCTCACTCCCATTGGACATTAGAGCCTTTCTTTCCTCCACCTCAGCAAGCTTTTGCACCCAACTCTAAGCCCTGAACTCCACCATACAACCATGGCTTTAAATGGAGCTCTCCACGGCCAAATAGAACAATGCTTGGAACCTTAAGGAAACTCTGCCAAATCCCATCAGAGCTTCTCCAAACCATCAAAAGTGCAATCCCCTTGCTTTCAGCCACTGATAGCCACCCCATAGAGCCAATTTTTTCACTAAAGCTTGCCCCCTCTCAAACATCCTCTAACCTAACTCTAGACCAACACCTGAATACCATTTTGATCAAATTCATACCTAGACAATTCACCAAAGCTTGGGACTTCATTTGGAGGTTTGTTGGACCCAATTGAAGCTGCCACAACCATCTGATTGAGGCCTCCCCCCCCTATCAGACAAAGGTATTGAACTATAACCCTAAATCGAGCTTGTTTCGACTCTCCATACATATTTATTGTATTTCATACCGTATAAACCATATATATATGTTTTTCTCGAGTAGATGAAGGTTTAGAAACAAACCCCATGCAATTTGGTTGAGTCTAGGCAGAGATCTTAAGGTTTTAGTGTGAATGGCTCACGGGGTAGGTCACTTGGGGATGATAACAGAGAGCCATCTGATCGCACATCCAATGGACAGAGGAGATCAAACCGGACAAACCCTCGGTGCATAAAGCGCAGTTTGCGTGGAGGCTATGTGGTTGGTGGCGTCAAATGGTTGAGCAAAGCGTAGAGCTTTCGGAGCAGACGAGGTTGAGGTGGCGCCGCGTGGATAAGTAGAAAAATATGGGATTTTTGAATTATTTTTAATGACTAAACTTCAAAAATCTATATCTTTCTCTAGAAAAATCATAAAAAAAACACTCTTGCTCAGTGAACAGAAGAGAATAATGTGGAATAAAAATAAAAATTATTTTCTTATTCTCTAATTTTTAATGAATTAAATACCCTTTATGGAATTTTAATTCTCCATGATTAAATATTGCTCACCATGGCTTGAAATTTTTAGGGTCTATTTTCC